GACCCTTTTCCAATGTGGTATAAAACTGAAGTGATAAAGTCTGGGGAGGCAGTGCCCACAACTCTGAGTGGCACCCTACAAGTACAGGTGATCCTTGGAAAGATGCTGGTGGCTTTAGTATGAACTGCAACACTTCAGCTTCCAGACTACCTATGAGGAACGCCCAGCAAGCAACCACTTTCCACACAGCTTGACCAGGAGAATTGGTGTCAGAGAATAAGCACTGAATGGACATTTTTAGAGGCTTAATCCTCTTGAGATAAAAGATGAGGACCCTTTTCACATGGGGCTTAAGAAGTGTGTTTTGCCAGGATGGGCACGTGGGGTGGGAAAGTGCTGGTGGGGTAAGTGAGACAGGATTCTGGCTTGAAGCAATAAGCATTTAAAGAAACTCCTCAATATCTAGATATTTATTCATTTGTTTGACAAAATAAGTACCCACTGTGTGCCAGACTGTCAGGTGGAAAGGTAAATTGAATGCAAATACCAATAAAACTGCCAGTGTGGGGACCTATACTGTGAAGATGTGAGTAGTCCACCTGGAGATATTTTCCTGTGGTCTTGGGAAGCATCGCAGTGCTCCTGCTTGAGTGTTTCTGGGCCCACACTAGTCACAGAGGCAACGTGCTCCTCTGCCCCACTTCCAGAGGTGCTGCTCTTACACAATGGCACTTGGGAAGCTCCCCAGGCTCCACCTCTGAAAAAGGTGAGGTGTTGGCTCTTCCTTGCTCTCGACAGCATCCCTGCAGAGGTCATCTTCTGTTACAACACACACTTGTACTTAGCCAAGCCTGCCATCTTGCCATCCAGGTGCCCTTCTGGTAAGGAGAAAGAGCAGCCTGCAGAACAGGAGTTCAGAGTTCCAATCCAAACACAGGAGCTCAATTCTAAATCCAATGCACTGGCCACATAGCCTAAGGAGGACATGACCTCTCTGAGCCACTGTTTGACTATTAAATGATGAATTATTAATATTGAGCCTACCAGACCATTGTGAAGATCAGAAATGCTGAGGGCTTCTTGAGGGGAGCAATCAGGTCTTTTCTGCCCCTGTTACCCCAGGATGCAGCCCAAGAAAAGAGATGTTACATAGGCAAATGATATTTTAGGTATTATACACGGAGACCACATATTCTGAGGCATTGGAATTGATCACTGAAAGCCAGGGATTTAGCTTAGTGGTGCTGCTGCCTGCCTTGTAAGTGCAAGGTCCTGAGTTCAATCCCCAGTACCACTAACAATACACAAAATAAACAGAATTGATTGTTGATTTCTACCTGGTTACCTTAGTGAGAACAGCCAGATGTGAGGGGCAGATGGTGCTAATGAAGCTGACCCTGAGGTTCAGAAGCACGCACACTGGCTGTGGGTTTAGATGTGTGACAGGAGCCAGTCTCATGTGACTTGGCCTAGCGAACTTACAGATGCCTTAGGAATAGATGCTTTAAGATGAGCCCCTTTCCCCAAAAGACCTGAGCTTTGTGGTGATAAGCAGATAAGAAAGGGAAATACAGATCTAAGAATGTTGGCACATGTGATTTATTCAGCACAATGAGAACTGCAGTCTTGGTAACAGAAGCAACATCAGAGTTCCAAGAAACAAGAATGCTCCCACAGCCCTCTTAAGAGAGCCATGTCCTGCCTGGTTTCCATACCCAGCACAGACACTCATATCCGAGATACACTGCACTTGGTTCTAGTGCAATGAGGAGCTCTACAGCCCCTTTGTTACTGACCACTCTGTAATTATTCTTGGTAGATGCTCTGCCAAGTATGCAGTAGCCTCTCATATAAAGACAGCTACGGTGTCCTCTCTCAGGCTGAACATCCCCATGGCCCTCATCTCTGAGAGTAGGCTCACTTCCAGGCTCCCCCAGCCTAGCCTTCTGGACTAAAAGCTTTTGATTTGTGTGTGTATGTCCCTTAGCACTGCCCAGAGCACATCTATTCTGCTGGCTGCTAACAAGAGTGCCCCATTTCAAACAAAGGGAAGTTAGCTGAAACTCTCGCCACTCATTTCTTAAACAGTCCTCTCCTGAAGTCATCTTTGAGTCTCCACTCTTCTCCTGTGTATTCCATATGCTGCAGGGGGACAGTGAGAACACTGAGGGATTGGCATAAAACATGTATTTGTTCAAGTATTTCCTGGGTGGAATGCTGCACAGCACACATTCTGGGAAATGCCGTGCTGTCCAGCAGCACTGAAAAGGGTGCCTGAGGGAGGGCTGCTACAGGGTAATCAGGTGGCCTGCAGGATTCCTAGCTGGGAGCACACACAGGTCACTGCTGAGGGTGTAAGGCCTCCTAGGCAGAGATGGCTGGCCTTGCCCAGTGGGCTTACAGGAGCCACTCCATTAGCTCTCGAGGAATTCATCTAGTATTTCCTCAGAGGACTAATTAGAAGTTCCAAACATTTCCTAAAATTTCTTCAAGATTCCTTTTTGGTAGGTACACATCTTTGGCACTCAGACTATCAATTGTGTTCTCAAGTGGAAACTCCTTGCAGGAACTAATTAAGTGGCACCATCGGGAAGCACAGTGCTACGCATCTCAGCAGCATGTGCACAGGCTGGTCCTTACCCTAGGTGGCTCCCACTCACAGGGGAGGCAGAACACCGCACTGGAAGACCTGGACCCCTTCCAGCTGCATCCCTACCCACTGCTTCTGTTCTTTGAGTTTGTTTCATGAAGTTCCTTTCATGTCCCTGGTGTAGCAACAGTAAGCACTTGGAAACCAGCAGAGAAGACTGAACACGCTTCCAATATTCATAGGAGCATTATTACACATCACAGATGACAGGCACCAAATGTCTGGTAACTGCTCAGCACTTTCCCACATGGTCTGTTTGAACTTGGAGATGATCCTGTCAGGTAGAATACTTGCTTTCCCTGTACAGAAGCCCATGGGCTAAAAAAACAGCAGGGGAAAGAAAGTGCTGGCTGATGCCAAGTCCAGGCTCAACTTCTCATCTCCTCAACCCCAAGGGACAGCCTCTGGAATATCCCTTTTCCTTGGAATATTCCAGAAAGAATGCCACCCATGCAAACACAATCAACATGGTCCTACACAAACAGGAAATGGTAAGAGAACTATTACAAGGGGATGAACAGATTCTATCTTAAATTGACCTACACAATTGCCTTACTCTACCAAAAGCCCATCTCCAAATAATTATGCCAGACATAAAAATTTAATAAGGGGATAATGGTCAAAAATTTAGAGACCAAAGTAGTTGCAATGAGTGATGCAGCAACAGTACTATGCTGAGCTGAATGGAAATACAGGGGGCCCTCAAACATGAGTTTGGGGGAGTAGAAGGAGGAGGACTAGAAGGATGAACCTGGCTGCAAGGATAGAACAAGCAAGGCTCCAACAAATTTACTGAGTTTCTTTATTAAGTTTCTTTTGTGTCTCCCAAATTTTTTATTTTTATGTCTAATACTTTGCCATACAACAGGACAAAATTAAACTGCCACCACTGATGGGTTTGTGACAGTTTATTGGGATTATGAGTCCTTAAAAAATCTTAATGGCGGGGCCGGGGATTTAGTTCAGCAGTTCCACCACCTGCCTTGCAAGCACAAGGACCCAAGTTCGATCCCTGGTACCAAAAAAATAATAATAAATAAATAAAAATTTTTAAAAATAAAATCTTAATGGTGAACAGCCCTGATTATTACCTCTAGGCATATCACACTTCTTCAGCACAGACAGAAGAAAGCTCTGAAGCCTGTACTTCCTTTGGAAAGGAAGTCTCGGAATTAGTAACATTTGCATTAATTTCGGAGAGTGTCACCTATTCACAGAAAGGGAGACCAGAGAAGTAAGAATGGGCACTAGGTCACTTCCTGGTTTCTCTTCAATAAGAATTTATAATTTCACTGAAATAAGTGCAGAGGCTATTTGATACTTCTTCATTCAAAGGTAAATGCAAGGAGAAGGCATGTGACTGACTTCTCACTTATCCGCAGTTGGGAGATTGTCTACGTTTCTCCTATTAATCAAAATAAGAGAGGACCCTACCAGAGTTTTCTCAAAATGAAAAATGAAAACCACAATAAACATCACTGGGGGAAAATATTTAAGAGAAAAAAAATTTCTGTATTTCGGAGGGACAGATTATCTAATACATAAAATATATAATCATGCCCCACTATCAACTCTTGTTTCAAAACCAGAGTTCATCATAGAAACATGAGTTTAAAGAATTAATCATCAAGCCATGTTTGCACAAAGTAAGCAGCTCTTTTCTGCTCGAGAAGAACAACACAGCACATATGCAGATGCATGCTTTGGTTCCTCAGTGCAAGGGCGGAGTTACTTGTATAAATATTTAAAGTCAGATCTTTGCATTTATAATAAAGCTGCACAGCACTTTACAAAATAAGGTACTAGTAAATTTAGATGTACAACAAACAAAGCTCTGATAGGAATACTAATTGCTGCTGTTGATATTCTAAACCTAAAAATCATCACGGTATCATTTAGATTCTATCTAAACACCTCTAACACATATTCAGGAATTTTAATAGGCCTTGATAAAGTCCCACTGGTGAAAGTTTTAAATTGCCAGACCAGCTTTGTATCTAAGGCATAGATGAGCTTCCTGTCTGGCTTTTTTTTTTTTTTTTCCCTGCTCTTGTTTTAGTGATGTACCTTCAACTACTCCAGGAAGGAAAGGAGTGAAGTCAAAAGCATCTCCAGCCTGCAGTCTAATGACTGGGTGTCCCTGGGGAGCCAGCCTGGCAGGTGATGAACAGCTGTGTGGTGGAGGAGGCTGCAGGGGTGGACACATAGACAACGACAGAGCTCCCTGGACTCAGTCATCTGCCACCTTAGTCTATGGGACCTAAGCATGCGCGGTATGTTCTTCTGCCTCACCTCTGCAGCAATGGAATGCACTTGCTCTTCACAAAGGTCTCAAACTGCTCACTTAGAATGTCCTGATTATACAAGACTGCACCCTTCATTGGGAGATATCAGGCATCTGTCACCTTACCTGTGATTGGCACCTTTACACTCATGCTTTCTTGTTTGCTCTCATCTTCACAGCCACTTGAAACTTCTAAAATACAAACATGTAACAAAAACATTTTTCAAAGTTATAAAACAGAACTTTTTTATTTGCAAATTTGGATGGGACAAGTAAGCCTCAAATGCTGGGCACATAAACCAACTAAGTTCTCAGTACTTTCTGTGAGCGACTCATAGCTGTCTTGGAAGTTATGGGGCAGTGGCCAGTCCAGCTCATGAGAAACACATGGCACATCTAGCAGTAAGGCTAAAATACTCACAATTCCTGGATACTAAAATGGAATGTTGAATTTGGGGGCATAAATTAATTATTTAGACTTTGAGAAGGTTCTATTAAAAAGCATATATAAAATTATAGGTAAGTTCTCTTAAGTAATATCAAAAACCTCACAGCACATTACGGAATCATTTTAATGTAATTATCTTCAAATTGTGGGGTCAAAATGATCTCCTGGCAAGTGATTAGGTTTACGTTTCATAACTTAAACACCTATTTCATTAGAAATTGAACAGAAGTATAGACCTACCATTAGGTTTCTCATTCCTGAAGCCAGCACTACTCAGTATTTAGAGGTGTGCTGTGAGACCAGATGTTGCCTTGGCCCTGAAAGCCTTTTTGCTGTTGACAGACTCTTTAAGAGCAGTTACCTTGGTCCCTTGTGGGAAGGCTGCAATGCTGGAATGCGGGTTTTGCTCTCTTTTTCCCAGCATCATCATACAGAAGAGATAGCGAGCTGCATGATTCATCACTGTGAATGGCCAAGCTGGCCTTACACTCTTCCGTAAGAGCTTTTTTCAGTGCTGCTGCTGCCTACAGTGTTTCAAAGAAAGTACAAAGAAAGCAAAACAAATCATAAGCACATTCCCCTTGATACAGACTTCAAATATAATTTTAAGTTAAACTTTGCTTAAGATTTAGTTTGCTTCCTAACATTAACCAAAATTAAAATGTCCTCACGATAAACAGCATCTGGCTATTTTCCAGCATAATTTAATTCTGTATAACACTTTATACACTTGTAAAAACATATTTTTCTCAGGACTGAACAAGGGAATGTAGATGTTCTATTTGTGAAACATGTTTGTGCGGTGATCGGCTCTGTTCATCTAGGTTGCTTTATCCTCCCTTCAATACACACAGAAGTCAGGCCCCTAGATCTCTTTTCTGAAGGAGAATAAATCCTATTTTCCAGGTGTGTAACACAGAGTTGGTTGGGACTGAGAAAGAAATCTGGGAAAAACATCTAGAAACGACCTCAGAGCTTCCCCTAAAAGGGAAGACTGTAGAAAAACTTGGTGGCTGAGGAGGACACACCAGGCAAAGCCACTGCTACTTTGTTTCTAAACCCTACTCTTCAGTCAAGGATTAAGGCAGTTCTCTGGGAGTTGGGGACACTCCACTGCCTATTGTTTTCATAGAGCACCAGACTGGACTGTCCTAACCTATACAGGGGACACAGATTCCTCACAGCCAACTTGAGAGGTAAGGAAAAGTTATCAATTCTCAGATCCGATGAGTACCCATGTCTTTCAACTTTTAGGTCAGTGTTTTTCCCTCAAGACATAAAAACAGGCAGAAAACGAGGATTAAGCATTTAGCAGTCAACCACCAACAACATTATCCCACTGCAGGAGTATGTCTTCCTCTTGATTCCCATTCAGAAGTACAGCAGGAGCGGACATTTCCGTGACAGTGGAGGGATCTTCTACCACTATCAACAATGGTGGGTCATATGGGGCAGCAACCAGCCCACCCTGTGAGAAATGCACAAGAGACTTTACAGGTAAAGCCTCAGAGCCAGCCTTCAATCCATGATTGTCTGATGACCAGTGGCCAGGGAGCTCCTTGTCTGTGATCCACAGGAGAGAGAGCAGATACACTCTGAGAAAGAATCACTGAGGCAGAACACAACAGACCTGGCTTTGTAGCTCCTTCGACCCTGACCTCCTGGCAAGACACTTGCCCTCTACCCTCCCTAGGGCTAATATAAAGATTCACAGGTCTGTAAGCAATTTAAAACAAACAACTTTCCTCCTCTGAATGCTGAAACTGCTTAGGATTATCAGTGACTCAGATAAAAATGGAGTCACTTATGCCATGGTAACAAGTCAGAGCCAGGAGACCAGGAAGGAAGAGCAACATTCCACAGGAATAAGCCCTTGCCTAACAATGGCCCTGAGCCAAAGGCAAGCCCTGTAATGAAGGTCTATTTCAATGTAGCTTGACTGGACTCCTCTGTTCCTAAAGCTTCCCCTTTACTGCAACCCCCTGAATGCCCCTATGGTCCACCAAGCACACATATCCAACACTGCAAGTCACTACTACTCCCATATAAACTCTTGGCTTGGGTAAGCTGGTCTGAGTTTCTCATTTTAGGTTGACACTCTCAACGATGACACAAATTTCTTGCTGTGTTGTACATCCATTTCCTATCAGATCCACTTTTACTTGAGCTGAATTTGAACTGGGGTTCACAGAATAAAGGACATGGAATATATTACAATAATCCTGAAAACTTTCCACCACTGCCCTTCCTTCTGTGATCAGCACACTTTTCCACCATGAGGGGTGTACCATGGTAAGCAGATCACTCCACTAGTTTCATTTCTTTTGTACATTTTGCCCCATTTACCTCCACTACTCAGTATTTCTGTTTATTGACAGACTTTTTTAAATTAAAAATTAATCTAAGATAATTCTGTAGGCAATTTTTCAAAGATGAGTACTATATGTATATGTATATATATATATCTGAATGAAAGTGTGAAAGATGGTCAAACTGCAACATGAGAATGGCTCAACTCTCCTGGACCATGGAGCCCAGGGAGAGAGAGCAGTGGATCTGCTCAAGGAGCACTCTGCAAAGGAATCCACAATATATGTCCCCAGCAAGCAGCGGACAATGGACAAGGGGAACAGAAACAAATGTCAGCCTCAGACAAGGAATATATCTGAATGAAAGTGTGAAAGATGGTCAAACTGCAACATGAGAATGGCTCAACTCTCCTGGACCATGGAGCCCAGGGAGAGAGAGCAGTGGATCTGCTCAAGGAGCACTCTGCAAAGGAATCCACAATATATGTCCCCAGCAAGCAGCGGACAATGGACAAGGGGAACAGAAACAAATGTCAGCCTCAGACAAGGACCAGTCATAATAAGGTTTTAGTAAAAAACCACTTCTGCAGAGTCAAGAAAAACATCAGTGACACCGTATCAGTATGCACTGTTTGCAGATGTTCCAGAACTGTATACTTCTAAGGAAGCTCCAAGCTGAACAGACTTGTCCAAGAGTCTGGGCACTAACTCTACCTGCAAAGGGTAGAGAAGAGTTAACAAGCTCCTTTACACATCACATGCTGCAAACAAGAGCTCAGTGTCTGAAACATACCTCTGGGTGCCAGCTTTCCATGGGTTTTGGACAGTGCCTGTGAAAGGACCATGCCTAGTTTCAATTTGTCTGTTAGGAATAAAGGTTCTCTTGGAACCACATGCATCTGGAGCCCAGGAAGGCAAATAAAAATGTTTCACTGATCTCAGCAGTGAAACCCCATCAAGACCAACAAAGAACCCCTCTTGGTTCTGACATTCCAGGACCAAGAGACAAGGCATGAGAATAGCTGCCAGGGCACACACTGTTTGTAGAATGGCTTAGGTTAGCATTGCCATACTTCACACCTGACTGCAGGTCAGCGACTCTATGAATTATGCTTACTAGTATTCCTAGAATCATGGCATCAGTTCTATTAGAATTTCCCTCACAGTTCAGTTTAAATATGGGTCCTGTTACATTTAGAATCATAAGTGACATCTAGGCTGTCAATTTATATTCAGACACTTATCAATTATGAAATTTAAATGCATAGACAAAATTATTAGGGGAAAAGATATTGTGTCTAAAACACCATTAAGAAAAATGAAAGACAAAGATATAAACTTAAAAATACTGTAACAAAATGTATACATTTGAAAAGTTCTTATAAATCAATAAAAAACCCTATTACTTATCTAATAGAACTAGGAAATGAAAAAATACAAATGGTTCACAAATAGGTAGGAAACAAGTTTGACCTGTATTGTAACAAAAGGCCAAACGAACAAAAGAGATTGGATGTCATTTTCACCTCTCAAATTGGTTTTTAAAAAGTCAATAGTATTGAGCTTTATAAAAAACTCAGAGAAATGCCATTTTCATCCATTATTGCCAACTCTGATGACCCTTGCAGGGTGAGATTTGGTGGTGCATAACAAAAACTTGAAAGATGCAGATACCTTTTGACCTAATAATTCTGTACTTGGGAACTCATTCTGGGGAAATATCATGGATATCTGGAAAAACTGAATTGCATAGGTTTTCTCTAAAAGTTTTTTACTGGAGGAAAGGGAGAATAAATTTAAATGTCTGACAGGCAGCTGAAGTGAGAGTGCATAAATCCACAGAAGTGAGGTAGAGATACAGGCAAGGTAAGGAAGGAAACTCTCTTTGCTACAAGGGGGAAGGGGAGGCTATGCACACAAGCAGTGCAATGCATGTCTGTCAACAGACAAATATTAGGGGCCACATGCTTCAGTGTTTACAGGGTGATACATGGACAGCAGGATAAGAGGCAGTTTTCTACTTATCTTGATAATTCAGTTTTTCTTTTTTTCCTGCTCATTTTTAAAAGAAAACATGGGCTATGACTAAAGGAATTTGATTTCTGCAATGGTGGTACAAATACAAAGAGAAACTGCATATAAAAGCATTTGGTAAAATTGAATTCCTTTCTCTGTATGTAAAGCAATGCTAATACCACAGCTATGGAAAAGGAAGAGAATGAAAAACCATGGCAGCAGAAAGCAGATGATGTTTTCCCTTCATACAGATTTAACTACTTCTTCCTTAAGAACCTCTTCTTGGACACTGCAAATGATTTCTCAGTGTTTAAAATGAACACAAGTATCATCACTTAAGTTATGTCTAAGTGAAGGAGAGGAAGGGATTTTATCCACAAAGTAATTAAAAGAAAGAAGAAAATGTTATGAGCTAGCAAATCAGTATTCAGAAATTTATCAGACAGCTGATTGTTAGGGGACAGCCTTCCTGATGAACCAAACCAGTGTGCTTATGTCCAAATTCTCTGTGTCCAAGTTCTGCTGGGTGGAAACAGACAGCACTTGGGAGAAGGGGTCTGTGAAGCCACTTTGTATTTTAACAAAGCACCCAACTAATTTTTTCTCATAAAGCAATTACAATTTTTTTCTGAATTAAAAGCATGCAGCTCAGTTACGTAACTGCCTAATAGGTTATGCGGGTGGTTGCTGGCTCTCATCTGGTCTCCAGGGGACATAATCTGAGTTTCAGCAGCTTTGATGATGTGTTTACTCAAGAGAAGGGCTGACAGCACCGGGCCCACAGGTAAACATCATCTACATGTGGCTGTTTAATTAGCCATTTACCCAAGAGATCAAAGTAAATATTTCTGAGCTTCATTAGACTCTGAACCAATGAATTCATAAGAGATTTCTTAAATTCGGAAAATCACTTACTTTTAAGAGTTTAACGAAGGACAGATATTTAACCCACAGTCTTTACTAAATGTGTATATCATTTCTATACACAGAAACAACTCAGAGACACTTTATTTTGCTAATTATACAATACTAGGATGATGTGGGCTATGGCTACTACTCAGTAGCAAGAGCTGTGCTTAGCATGTGTGAGATACTGGGTTCAATCCCTAGAGGTGCGCACACACACACACACACACACACACACACATAAAATACATACACGAGATAGTGGTTTTAGAACCCACAAAAGCATTCGGTCCTGAAATGCACATAGCTAGGCCTGCCTATCTCATTTTGCTAACACTGTGTTTTGTGCTTGTGTTTTCTTTGGCCTCACCTAATGGGTGACAAACCACATGTTTGCTTTCATTTTTTTTTTTTTAGTTTTTTTTAATTTTTTTTGTCTTTTTATTGAGTTTATTGGTACAATCTAGGTATACAATACAATTACATTCATCATTGTGATTCTGTACCTTTACATAATAGGTCTTGATTCTCATTTTTCCCCTTGTCCCTGCCCTCCCTTCACCCCTTCCTCCCCTCCCCATTTACAAACACTTTATTTCCATTTTTTCAGTTTCTCATATTTTTTTCCTCTCCCTTATAACCTTTCCCCCACCCTTCCCACTTTCCCTACACCTTTAGCCCTTTACTTCCTATTTCACATTATTAATTATCTCATTAGGATCCTGTGTACTATTATAGTTTTTCACACCAAAGAAACTATTCGGTATTTCAGTTAAAGAAATCTCTGTATGAACATTAAAAATGGGGAATCCTAAAATAAAACTAAAAAGGAAAGTAAAAGAGAAAAGGCAATGATGTAGGATTAAAATAATCCTTAATTCTGGAGATGAAAATGTTCCCTGAACATATTTAAATTGCTTCTCGCTCTTATATACTTATCTTATTCTTTTCTTCATTATTTAGAGAATACTTTATTAGTTTCTGTAATCAAAC